AGCCTCAGGTGATTATAAATGGACTTGGGAAGGATTTAAATTAATGGGCAAATAGTCTGTGTGTGCCACCTCTGCACAGAAATGCCATCTCTGGCTTTCCACTGCCCAGAGACCTCTGAGGAGCTGCTCTGCCCAGGAACAAAAGCAGCAAAGTAGGGGCCAGAAGTTGCCCCATCACCACCAGAGTCCACCAGCAGGTTGACCACAGCAGAAGCAAACAGATGGGATTTCTGCAGCAGTGGGGAGCCTTGGTGCAGGGCTGGATATGAGAGGAAGGTGAGCGGTCCTGTGCTTTGCTGTGGGCAAGTGGTGAGTATCGCCCTCTTCCTTTTATGCTCTCCTGAGAAAGTTCCAAACCCCAATCACTGCAGCAGGAAAAAAACTGAGTATAAAGAGGAAGGACAACCACTGTTTTCAGAAACTGAATCCCCACACTGCTTCTGAAGATGCATTAGATACTTTGTCACTAGGTCAGTTTTGAATTGCTAACATGATGTTGTCTTAATTGTTCAAAAGGAAAGGATAATTAGCTGTGCATTCGTTTAAAGGGATAAAATCAGATACATAGGCACTACTTGTACTTTTTCAGTCTCGTGAAGTTTTAAGTTCCTTAACTCAAGCAAGCTTGCTCTTTGAGAACTGAAACTAGAAATTTTAGGTCTCTTTTCCAGCACACGTTTCCCAGGAAGAGAAATAGAACTCCAGCTAGAAACCCACACCAAGAGCCTTTGGCTCAAATGCAACATATCTGGTTCTGGGGCTCAAAGGAGAGTTAGAAAACTGCAGTTCTGAACATGGTGTTTTTCTTTTATTCTCAGCCTTGCTAAAATACATCATATAGTTTTAAGTAACAGATTTCTTTTCAAATTCCTTTTGTAAGAAGAGAAAAAAGCATATTCTCAAATTCAGAAGATGGAGGTCTGAAGTTCTTCCTTAAACATGCCTTCAAAGTGGAGGTCTTTTGCCATGAGCTCCTCTTCTACATCTTCTAAGGCCCACTGATGATCCGTCAATTCTAAAGCTTCCCATTCCGTCTGCATTGATGATGAACAGGTAGAGAAAGGAAAGCAACACAGTATTAAAGTAGTTAGACAAGAACTATGCAAATTAGTGCTTCCCTTAAAAACTGAAAAAAAACACCAAGTTCTATTAAAAACCTGGCAATCCTGTCAACTCTGAAATCAGTGTTCTACACTGAATTGGGTATTAGATAGTTGATCAGTACAGGAACACTGTAGAAATTAGAAAAACAACATCATCTACTTTTTGAAAACCCTCTAGCCTTCTGGAATAGTCCATTTCTTCTAAAACCTGTCTCTAGAAACAACCCATTCTGTTCTGGGCGAGGTCAGATGCTTTGTGGTTAGTTAATTCTTTAGTTTAGAGACCTTTGATAAAAACAGTTGCAGGCCAAAAATTTTGCACCTGATCACAGACTTGATGTGCCTTATTAGACTGTTCTCCAACCAAGAAGCCCCCTGGAGCTGCACAGTTTATTAATTCATTAAGCCAAGAGTTCAGAGCAGCCCAAGGCCTAAGAAACAGAATTTCATCTGAAATATGAGAATGATCTCTCCCACTACTCATTTTCCACCACCTATGACCACACATCTCTCCTCCTCTTAGTCCACGAAGTGTTGCTACAGTAAGTATTGCGGAATAAGCTGCATACAGCCTGCAAAATTACGTCATGCAATGCCTGTCGAGACAGTTGTACTTCTCGGCCAGAACACTTCTCCTGCAATATGGGCTTTCTTGCTTTGTTTCTTCTGGGGACCACATAGTGGGTTTAGGTCCCTATGAGGCTGAATAGCAAAACTGCTCTGGATAGCCAGTACTGCAAAGGAAGTGGAGGGACCTGAGCCAGGAGAGTGCATGGTAATGGCTGGAATTGCTGCTCAGTGCGGACAGAACAGTCACTGCTCCGGCAGAGCTGCAAACTGCATCCCTGCATTCCCTGCTGCCGCTCTGGCTGGGTGACGTGATATTTTTTAACCATGTGGGTTACCGAACACAGGAAACTGCAGGAGCAGACCAATGTGACATCCCAGACAGCAGGTTGTGTGTGGGTAAATCTCTACAATCGTACATAAAAACAGAAACCAGGGGCGTCCCTTCATACATAAAACTAGGGTTGTGAAAGGAGGGCAGACTGGTAAGCAAGTGTTGATGGAGACTGCTTAGGAGAACTTCCATGACACAGTCAAATCCTGACAGGTTTTCCGATGAGCTGACTCACTTGATATTCTTACCAAAATTCCATCATGTGCCTGCTGGACTTGTGCTCAGCTGCACTATTAACTTCCATGCCCTTCACCAGTGGTCAGCTCTAATTTTAGGAACAGAAATCCAGAGCAATTCCCTTACTTGGCACAGGTCCAGGCTGCGTTACAGCCAAAATCCTGTATGTTCACAGCGAACAGGAATGCAGGTGTGAATACTGTACCTTAAATGCTTTATTAGTATCTGCTGGCATGGCCATTGCTGCCCCTGTCATCTGTTCTTGCATCACCCTAGACTGATCTGCAGCTACAAGAGAGAAACAAGAGGTTCGGTTTTATTTGCCGTGTTTAAACAGCATTTCTTGGAGCACAGTGCCATAGCTTCTAGCTAAAGACCAGAAAGTTGCAGAAACTCCCCAAACACAGTACTAACGTGCCAGAAAGAGTTCTCACAAGGGATCTTGTTCCCACCCCCTGCATCTTAGCTAAATTTACATAAAATATGCAGACAAATGGAGGACAATACAGTCTTCTACATGCCCAATAACCCTAGTACAGTATCTGTCCTGCCCTGCATCTAGTGTTAAAAAATCTTTGCAGCTTTCCTTAAAACTGATCCTTGCTAGAAAGAAAAGCAAGCCTGACAGCAAAATTTCTGCACACCAATTTGATGAGAAGGAAAGCATGGGTTAATTACCATGGCAGTTTACGAGCAGTTAGCCACTGGCTGGTGCAGAAGATCTGGGTACTTGCTGCAGGTGATGTCAAACCTGGCCAGTGGAGAGTAACCTCACAGAAGTAAGAGAGGCTTTCAAGAGCTTTTTGGCTGGAAATTTAGAAATCCTTCCCCAACCTCCCTCAGAACTCATCCGATGGAAGAAGCCAGCTCTTTCACAGAAATGACAGTGTCTTACCATTATCTTGGCCCAGGATGAGAGTATAAATGCTTCTGAGTCCAAACACATTCAGAAAGTACCAGGAAGCAGAGCTCACCCTGATAAATCAGAACAAGAGTGGTTGATTTCAGTTCAAAGCTGGCTTGTGACCTCACTTCAGAAGCATGCACAGCCCATTCAAGGGTTATTAACACACTCAGAATTTTCCAAGTGAATATCTAGCCTTGCTTGCCGAGGACACAGGCTTACCAGGATGCATCCAGAGTGAGTAGTTCAATTCCCTGCTGCAACATTGGTTTAAAACGCAGCGTCAGAGGAAAGGGGACCTTTGCTGCAGGATTAAAAAAAAAAACAAACAGTTTCACAAAGTAACACATAATTGCAAAGCAAATGGCAAAGCGAGTAGATGTTTCTTTTATTAAATCTAACGTAGTCTGAATGCAATGCATACAATAACAAGTTATCACATACTTTTTTAAAAGCTGTAGTTCTGTATTTATTTTAATATGAAGAGACCTTTTGAAACTTAATCAGATGGCCAAACCACCACAGGTGTTGCTTTGGTGCCTGCAAAGGGGAACGTTTTTAGTTAAGGAAACAGTTATCACAGAAACAGTAAGAAAAAAAAAAAAGGAAATATTTTTGATGTGTACACCCTGCATTACACAGTAACCAACTCTCTGGACAGGGTTCAGAGGAAAATCCACTGTATCAACTTAAAGTCTAGGCAGTTCTAATAAATTTAAATATTGTTTTCACCACTACAGTTGTTCCCGAATATGTGAGCTATTTTCTTTGTGACCACGGCTGGCAATTTAAAAACAATTTTCCCCCCTTTGGTATGGGGCAAGCAAATCCACACAGTTCATGGAGCGAACAGTGGCAGAGTGACAAGCCAAATTCATGCTGCTTCCAGTCTACTACTTTCAGGTAGAGGAAGAAATCTCTGCCACAGCCCAGACCCTTGAGATCATCCAGAAACACAGCCAGAGCCATGGGCTGTGTTATTCCAGACACTTACTTGTGACGAATCCCGAAAACGTCATGTTGATCCAACCACCAATGAGGATCATAGGCAGAACATTGGTTACATTCCCTTTCATCATATCTGTCAACATGGTAGGATCTGCAATTCAAAGATTCAATGTAAAACAGCAGCGCATCACAACAAAGGGAAACAGATTCCTTCCCAACATCAGCTATTTTAATTGAGAAACTGAATGAAATGTAACTGTCCCGTCCCACTATCTATCCCATATCTAAATTTTCCACTGCTGTAAAATACTTCAGAAAACGAGATGAGCAGCCAGTGTGGTGGTGGCTGCTGCTGCCAAAAGGGTGTTGTTCTCTGCTGTGTCTGACCCCAGCTCCTTTGTCTGTGTTCGACCCCATCCCTTGCTCCAGATCGCTGAACTTGCTGGACCCCGCTGTGAGCAGGTTTAGCGAGAAAAATGACAACAACCCCATCCCTTGCTCCAGATCACTGAACTTGCTGGACCCCACTGTGAGCAGGTTTAGCGAGAAAAATGACAACATCAGCTGACTTGCTGCTGAGGTCTTTGGCCACAGTAATAAGTTAAATCAGATTAGAGGAGGTCCTGCAGGAGCTCGTGCAAAAAACTGACAAAAGGACGAGCGAAAGCAGGACTTCCCATTTGTGGCAACACTGGGGGGCTCATGGTCCTGTGAGATACTGCAGGCAGCCGGAGGCTGAAGCTGAGCAAAATGAAGTGACCCAACACGTTGCTACCAAAGGGGGATCTCGCCCCTGCCTCCTCCCCAACACCCAGCTGCACAGTCCCTGTTCCCCCCGCCCGTTCACAGAGTTCTTTGTGAAGCTGATTCACCCTCCTACCTTGGCAGAAAATGACAGCTTTTCTGCACAGCTATATTCATGGTACCTTAACATACCTGTCATTGGTGAAGGAGGCACTACCTTTCTTTTAGTTTTCTTAAAAAATCCATCCTCTGGGTTATTAAAAAAATATTTCCGGGACAGGAAAGACTGAAAACAAAGAGCCAATGGCAACACCGTAAGAAATGAAAGGACAGAAGTGTCATTGCTTGTTCAGACATGCAGACATCTTATGAGCTCTTTCATAACACATCTTTCTTTCTCGGAGGGGTACTTCACTGCCCATATGCTCTAAAGCTCCCCCCCTTTACTGTTTCACTTGATCCAGAGTACTACCTCTCTGGCTTTCTAAAATTCTTAAAAATCATTCTAAGAATTCTCTGAAGAAGAATCTACATTAATTAAACAGCTTTTAGCACTTTATGCAAAGTTCTTGCTGCCTTAGTACCCACACCAGCATATCTGACGTTTTCATTCCCATCAGCTGACTTCCAGATTTTACAACATACATATCTGGCAGCAAGTGAGCTGATACGAGCGACTGATTTTTATTTCAGCAAACATTACAGCTGATGCTGTACGACTCCCTCATGATCCTGAGCTTTTGTTAAATCCCTGTTTCTTGGTAGATATTAAAGACGGTGGTTTGGATGCGGGCTTCATTTTCGTATGCAGTTAAAACACCAGCTGGTGCGAGCTAACATTGATGTCAGGGAAAAAACATGCATGGTGGTCCTGTGTCCGGGTTT